GATCGCCGAGACGCGCCACGGTCCCGCCCGCATCCTCCACGGCTTTGCTCCGCGTCTCCCTGGTCTGCTAGGGGGCCTCCCCCCCAGCAGACCAGGGAGACGTGGAGCAGCTTTTCTCGCCCCGGAGGACGCAGGCGGCGGGACCACGGCACGTCTGGGCGGTCCCGCCGCCCACATCCTCCAGGGCGAGAAAAGCCCCGTTCGTAACTATGGATCCGACGTAAGTTGGATCCGCGTAACTCGGGGACTGCCTGTACTGGAAATTGTCTATGGGGATTTATGACAATCACTGAAGTTAATTAGAGAGAACTATTTAGTGTAACAATTTAGTTCTCAGCAACAAACTGTATATGTAGAGAGCGATCAACCCAAATGCCAGATCCAGCCAAAGATTTCAGTGTAGTAAGAAAATAGATTTGCAGGCAAGAGCGTGCCATTCACAGTTTATAGTAGTTACTCAGCTCCAGTAAAGTCATAAGAAACTATCCCTGATTCCAACACAAATTTGTACATGTCCAGAGGCAATTTTATTCTGTTCTCTGTGCCTCAGTTTACACCTCTGCAAAATGAAGATACAATTTCTTACCCACCTTTATATAACACAGAGGCTATGTCTACACTACAAGGTTTTCGCACCAAAACAGCTGGTTTTGCTAAAAAAACCTGCCGAGTGTCCATACCTCAAATGAGCTCTTGTGCAATTAAACAGGCAGTTAAATTGCAGAAGAGAAGGTTTTTTCCGCTGTAGGTAAACCTCCTTTTCTGAGGCATACCTGCTTTTAGCGCTACAGCTCTTGGCAAGAAGGCAAGTGTGGACTCTCCAGAGGGGTTTCTTGCACAAGAAACCCCTATGGGAGAAAGCAGAGGTGCTTGGCCAGAAGAGCTTTCTTGCGCAAGAGCATCCATGCAGTGTGGACACTCTCTTGTGCAAAAGCACATGACTTTTGCGATGTGCTTTGAGGTGTGGACGGTGCTCTTGCATAAGAAGTTTTTGTGCAAAAACTCTTGCACAAAAGGCTTCTTGTGCAAGAAGCACGTTGTGTAGACGTAGTCTATGAGACCAGCTGCTAGAGGAGCACTATTCACTGACCCAAACCTGTGTGAATGCCAACAGAATGTCATGTGTAAAATATACTTAAATGTTTGAAAACTAGGAAAACTGAAAACTAAGATACACAGAAGCACTAGAAACATCATATATGGATTTTAGAGCATTTAGAAAAATCACTTTTAAAAATAGCAAGCTTATCTCAACCTTAACTATTTTGGAAAAAGTATTTTAATATTATTTAGCAAAAATCTGCACAATATTTTTCTTGTGTAGCTAATCATTTAGGATAATTTCTAGTTGACAAATCAGGTTACATTTTATAATGACATAGTTTGGTTAAAGTAATGTGCAGAAACTTATGTGTGTTTCTTTTTTTCAGGATCTGTCAAGATGGGAAGGAGTAAGTCTCCATGGATTTTCATCAGTTAAACTCAGATAAGATCAACATGATATATATCCATTTATTGTCATTTTTAAAAAACTTTACATCATCTTCTTCACATAAATATCTGTAGCAGCCTAGGTTTGATATAACTTACACTCTGATCCCACTTACAGAACCACATAAGTCTTATTAATCCAACATAGTTCCATTGAATACTGCTCAACATTGGGTTTTAAAATCCATAACTGTGAATTTTGTTTAGAGGACTAAGAGTCAATTTTTAAAGGAATTTAGATAACTAACTCCAACTAAAATCAACAGGCGATAAGCAGGTTAAAACCTTTACAAATCTAACCGTAAACTGCTGGTGAATCACAGGGTCACATCAAGCTATGGATTTGGGGCTATGTCTACATTACAGAGTTTTTTCCAGGATACTGGAATATTCTTTCAGAAGCCCTGTATTCTTCATTTTAGATGGTCCAAAATGTCAGAAAAAACCTATTTCGAAAAAAGAATCAGAAAAAGTCATGCAAATTGCAATTTGCTATTTGTGTATCTTTTTCTGAAAAATAACTGCAGTGTAGACATAGCCTTAGTGAAGAAACTCCAATGGGCTATGTCTACACTGCAGGCTTTTGTCCGCAGAGAGTATGCTAATGAAGAGCTCATTAGGATTTGTTGCACTGTTGTTTGAATATTCTCTGCTGATGCTTTTTGAGCAAGAGGCTTATGCTCAAAAACAAGCAGTGTAAACAGGCCTGTTTTGTACAACCCCCCCTTTTTGTGCAATATCATGCCTCAAAAAGGGAGGCATAAGGATCTTTTTTTTGAGCAAAATAGATCCATCTATACAGCTTGTTTATGAACAAAAAACCTCTTGTGCAAAAAGTATTGGCAGAGAATATCAAATGATAGCACGACAAATGTTCATGAGCACTTCATTAGCATATTCTCTGCCTGCAAAAGCCTGCAGTGTAGACATAGCCTATTAGTGAAGAAATGCTGCAAGCTTAACAATTGTCAGTGTGTTAGAATGGTTGATTGGTCTGGAATTTATTTCCATTTTGTAACCAGTTTAGATAAACCAATGTGCAGGTATTTAAGGAGCTTTTCTGATTTTGTTTTTTTTTCTTTTCCAGCATCTACAAATAAATTAATGGGTAAGTCTGCCTGGAAACAGATTCACTCTTCTCCCTCTTTCTGTCTCACCCGCACACAGAGGTGGGCTGAGCAAATGTTGACTGTATTTCTGGAGTCCCTACATCCTGACCTTTGAAGCAGCTTATCTCTGAAGCAGCCTAAGGGCCCAATTCTCTGTTCTGGCACACAGTGTGTCCTGGCCAGGACTAGCCGTGGGGTGGGAAGGGAGGAAATAGTGGCTTAAATCAACTTTGTATTTCCTTGTGTTGAGGATCCAATCTCTGGCTGTGACAACAGCTCCTTCAGAATGGGTCTTACCTACAGTAAGTTGCCCAATTCCCTCTCTCCCTCATCCTTATGACAGACACATTACATTGAAGCAGGGTCATCCTTAGAACTGGGTGATGTGGAGGGCTGCAAAGTGCACTGTGGTAAGGGGGAGGACATGGCCAAGAAGCAAGACCATGGAAAGAACCTTGGGACAATGCAATTGGGGCCCACAGGTGATGAGAGAGTGTAGAACCTGGAGAGGCAAAGGGGACCAGGAAAGATGGTGGGATGAATGGAGAGGTAGCAGAGGCCAGGCGTGATGTGGTGGATAGGAAGACCGGAGAGGCAGCAGGCCCAGAGGATGCAGAGGCAATGGGAGCCAGAGACAATGCTGGAAATGGGCAAGGCCCAGGTAAATAGCAGCAGTCAGGGCAAAATAAAAGATCTCCTAGGGTGATATTTTCCCTATGGCCAGCCTGCTTGGAACTGGATGGAGGAGGAATAGAGAGTGAAATGCAGGCAGGCAGCCCACCTGAGCTCTGACTCAATCCAGGGCTGGAAGCCTTATTGAAGGCACAGGAAGAAACCATCCCGATGCGCAGCAAGAGAAGCAAATACAGTAGGAGACCGGATTGGCTTACTGGGGAAATCCTTAGTGAACTTAAGCACAAAAAGGAAGTTAACAAGAAGTGGAAACTTGGACAGATGACTGTGGGGGGGAGATATAAATGTATAGCTTGAGAATGCAGGGGAGTTGTTAGGAAGGCGAAAGTGCAATCACAATTGCAACTAGCAAAGGATGTAGAGGGTAACAGGAAAGGTTTCTACAGTCATGTTAGCAAGAAGAGGGTGATAAGAGAGGGTGTGGGACCCTTAATGGATGAGGGAGGTAACCTAGTGACAGATGATGTGGGAAAAGCTGAAGTACTCAATGATTTTTTATCTGTCTTCATGAAAAAGGTCAGCCCCCAGACAAATGCACTAGCTGATGCAATATGGGACAAAGGTGGACAGCCCTTGGTGGGGAAAGAACAAGTTAGGAATTATTTAGAAAAGCTAAACGTACAAAAATCTATGGGTCCAGATTTAATGCATCCGAGGGTATTGAGGGACTTGGCTAATGTCATTTGCAGAGCCGTTGGCCATTATCTTTGAAAAGTCATGGAGTTCAGGAGAGATCCTGGATGACTGGAAAAAGGCAAATGTAGTGCCCATCTTTAAAAAAGGGAAGAAGAACGATCCAGGGAACTATAGGCCGGTCAGTCTTACCTCAGTCCCCAGAAAAATCATGGAGGGGAGCCTCAAGGAATTCATTTTGAGGCACTTGGAGGAGGGGGAAGTGATCAGGAATAGTCAGCATGGATTCATGAAGGGCAAGTAGTGCCTTACCAGTCTTATTAGCTTCTATGATGAGGTAACTGGCTCTGTGGACATGGGAAAGTCAGTGGATGTGATATACCTTGACTTTACCAAAGCTTTTGTTATGGTCTACCACAGTATTCTTGCCAGCAAGTTAAAGGAATATGGCTTAGATAAATGGGCTGTAAGACGTATAGAAAGCTGGCTAGAAGGTCAGGCCCAACGGGTAGTGATCAACGGCTCGCTGTCACGATGGTGGTTGGTTTCTAGTGGCGTGCCCCAAGGATCAGTTCTAGGACTGGTTTTGTTCAACATCTTTATTAATGGCCTGGATGAGGGGATGGATTGCACCCTCAGCAAGTTTATGGATAACACTAAGCTAGGGGGAGAGGTAGATACAGTTGAGGGCAGAGATAGGGTCCAGAGTGACTTAGACAAATTGGAGAACTGGGCTAAAAGAAATCTGATGAGGTTCAACAAGGACAAGTGCAGAATCCTGCACTTCAGATGGAAGAATCCCAAGCATCATTACAGACTGGGGACTGACTGGATAGGTAGCAGTTCTGAAGAAAAGGACCTGGGGATTATAGTGGATGAGAAGCTGGATATGAGTCAACAGTGTGCCCTTGTAGCCAAGAAGGCTAATGGCATATTAGGTTGCATTAAGGGGAGCATTGCCAGCAGATCCACAGAAGTGATAATTCCCCTTTATTCGTCTCTGGTGAGGCCACATCTGGAGTATTGTGTCCAGTTCTGGGCCCCCAACTACAGGAAAGATGTGGATGCATTGGAGAGAGTCCAGCTTAGAGTGACCAAAATGATTAGGGGGCTGGAGCATATGACCTATGAGGAGAGGCTGAAGGATTTGGGTTTGTTTAGTCTGCAAAAGAGTTTGTTTAGAGTGAGGGGGGGATCTGATAGCAGCCTTTAACTTCCTGAAGGGAGGTTCCAAAGAGGATGGAGAGAGGCTGTTCATAGTAGTGACAGATGGCAGAACAAGGAACAATGGTCTCAGGTTACTTTGGGGGATGTCTAGGTTGGATATTAGGAAAAACTACTTCACTAGGAAGGTAGTGAAGCACTGGAATGGGTTCCCTAGGGAGGTGGTGGAATGTCCATCTCTAGAGGTTTTTATGTCCTAGCTTGACAAAGCCCTGCCTGGGATGATTTAGTTGGGATTGGTCCTTCCTTGGGCATGGGGCTGGACTTGGTGACCTTCTGAGGTCTCTTCCAGCTCTATGGTTCTATTATTCTAAGCTCAGACCACCCCCAGAGAGGGGTCACATCAGAGACAGCAGCATGGGGCGAGAGGCAACCAGTCTGGGAGGGGAAGTGTTTTTAAACTGGCTCCCCTCACAGACTAACTCTTGCCTAGCACCCCACGTTGCTGCCTCTGTGTCAGAGGCAGCAGTGTGAAGTGGTAGGGGGCGCCTCAGGTGTGAGACTGGAGCACACTGGCTATCAGCCCTATACCTGGGTACTATAGAATAGTCAAGTACCTGATAATACTTCATCAGGTTACTTAACTATTCAATTAATCGACATTTAACATCCCTATTCATGGGACAGGAACTCACTATGCCTGTATCGCTACAGACACAGAACAGACCATCCCTGTCCCAGAGACCTGACATTTCAAGCGTAAGACAAAGGACATGACAGGGATACAAGACAGAGAGCAGAATGGAACAATGAGACAACCCAGGACAGTATGAGGAGCAATGGTCTCAGCCCACCAGCTGCCAGACTGTTGCCAAAATGTTTGTACAAAAAGAATACATAGCCTAAACCCTATCCCTCTGACAAATGTCTGATATTAGGTGTGGTGCTAGACCTATGAGAGATATCAGTGGTTTGAGCATTGGCCTGATAAACTTGGGGTTGTGAGTTCTATCCTTTAGGGGAGCCATTTAGGGATTTGGGGCAAATTCATCAGGGATAGTACTTGGCCCTGCCTTGAGAGCAATGGACGGGACTAGATGACCTCCAAGGTCCCTTCCAGTTCTATGAGATGTCAAAGTAGTAGCGTTCAAGCAAGTATCAGAGGGGTAGCCATGTTAGTCTGAATCTGCAAAAGCAACAGAAAGTCCTGGGGCGCCTTCTAGACTAACAGATTTGTCGGAGCATGAGCTTTCGTGGGCAAAGACCCACTTCGTCAGATGCATATCATCTGATGAAGTGGGTCTTTGCCCATGAAAGCTTATGCTCCAACATTTCGGTTAGTCTATAAGGTGCCACAGGACTCCTTGCCACTCACCGGATGTAATTCCCACTCAAAAACTACATCAAGACAGAGTGTAGGATGAAGGCAGCAGCCAGTGCTCCCTCATGTGAATACGTGGCCCCTCAGTCATCTTGTTCTGGAGAATGTACAACAATTTCTCTGGTCTGGCTAGCTGCTCCCCCCATCTGCTTCTCTCAGGCCTCTGTGAAGAGGACTATGGATGTGAACTGTAGTGCTTCCCGCTCTGTGTGAAGTCCCTGGGGGATTTCTGGAGTGATGACTCCCCAGCCCTTCTAGAGGGTTTTTTTCAGTTAAACCAGGCTCCCAGTCACTGTGCTCCAGAAGCTCACACCTGACTGAAAATCTTGCCAGGTTTTTCAGCATATTCACAGCCCCCTTCTTTAGAGTATTGCTGCCAAAGAGCCAAATATAATTAACTGGAGTGAGAAGGGCATTAGGCAGAAGGCAAAAGCCAGATCCCTGTTCCATGCTTTACCATCCACCCTTATCTGAGATTGCATTCCCTTTGTAAGCAAAGGGTCAATTAAATGGTCTTCACACTCTAGGAGAGCCCTCATGGGGCCCAGGAATAATTAGGATGCGACAGATAAAAGATAATTTTTTTCTCCTCTCCTGTACTCTACCTGTTGGCTTTTTGTTGTTCCCTGGTCCCAGGGGAGGCGTATAAGTAGTGCAGTATCTCTCCACATCCCCATTATCTGTAATTATGGAGGTGACAGAACAACTGCATAGATAAAAATGCATCAGGATTTTCCCTTTATTAGAATCTTAACGCTCCTGTCTTTTCAGGAACCAATTCCATGCAGATACAAAAGACCTAGGTCAAGCGTATAATGAGATATCTCAGTGTTTTATCTGTACCTGAGAGCTGATAGCAGGTTGCCTCCAATACTCCCTTCCTTTGGCTTTCCAAACAGCTTTTTCCAAATACGACTCCTGCTTCCATTGAAACCCTTTGCTAAACCTTGTAGGGACAAAAATATTCTCACACTGAAATGTTGCCTTCTTTTTGCAGAGAAACTGGAGGACATGAAGGGTAAGTCTACACTGATATTATAGACTGTGTGTCATAAGCCCTATACTATTTCATATCACCACCCTTGAATTATTTAACTGCAAGAAGAATTAGAAGACTGCATTTCTGTCTTTGCATAGGTCGGACAACAGAGGCCAGATTTTGTATCACAATTTGAAAATACAGTTCATTGAAGTAGATAATTTTTTACTTGGGTTGATTTTGCAGCGAACACAGAAACACACATTGTTGGACCCTAATTTTGTTGTTGTTGTTGTTATTACTGTCCATTTTCACCAGAATGGTCAGCCAATCTTCTGGGCTCTGCGGATGTTCCAGATCGGAATAGAAATTGACAAAGGAGTCTTATTTTTTTTTTTGGTGGTACCATGTTTATTTACGAGCAGTGCCCAAACCTTGCTTCTCCGAATGCAGGAAACAAGAAAAGGAGACAGTTCCTTGGTTGGCTATTTCAAGCCTGTATTTCCATCCACTCTATCTGGGGGAAAAAAAGCTTTATTTCAGGACCACTTTACTGTATTGCCAGGCTGTGTTTCCTTGGATTTCTCTGCTTTTGTTTTACTCTCTGTGACTCTCTCTGCCTCTGCTTGTGTTGTGATTTTTCACACTCCTGACCAACAAAAGTTTTATCAGCATAAACATGCCAATGTGGACAGTGCTATGTCAGCAGGAGATGCTCTCACATTTATAATACTACTGCCACTCATTGGGGGTGGTTTGATTTTGCTGACAGAAGAGCTCTCTCCTGGCAATGAGTGGCTACATGGGAGACTTTACACCAGCACAGAAGTACCAGCACAGCATATTACGGACTATAGTGTAGACATAGCCTGTGTCTCACTGAGACTTGGCCTACACTGCAGTGTTGAGTCAACAAAGGCAGCTTAAGTCAACCTTTGTCAGTATCTACAACACAGCCTCCCTTCTGCTGATGTAAGTGCCTTACTACTCCAACTCATAGCTCCCCCTACACAAAATACACACAGCTTATGTCAGTGTAGGTTCGATGTCTATGTAGGCTCTGTGTTCCATGCCTCAGCTGTTGACTGTATTGTCAATTTCACGGCTCTGATGAACAAGAAAACAGGCTTCCAGCTACTCATATTGGCTGCTGCCAGGCTCCCCACTTCCTGCTGGGAGTCCTGCTCCTCCTTGGGGTCTTAGCTTATCAGTCCCTTCAAGGAGCATGGCAGGTGACCAAACTCTTGGCATAGATCTCCCTGCTGTAGGTAAGTAGCCCCAGTCAACTTCCCACCCCAAGAATTTTTCACTATGAGTGCGGAGGTAAGAAATGATGGGTGGGGGGAGGTCAGGTAGGCTCCTAGTGGGGAACTGAGTGGTGCTGAGAGCCCTTGAGCTGAGCCCTCCCCACTACCCATGTTCAGTCATGCAAGACATGCACCACTGACAGGAGGGAAATGTGGACATGAGCCCCCACAGTAATTACTGAGATGGCTGTGAGCCAACCTCCTATAGGTTGATTTAAGATTGCAATCAGTGTAGACGTTCCCAGAGACAATGAATGTCCCTTTTAGCTCTCTGCCCACAAAGTCCAAATTACTGGGTTGCTATTATATTCCATTTTTTAGGTGGGGCTGTTTAGCTGTCCCCCATGGCCATTTTCAATGAGAGGTGCAGATCACACAGGTTAGAGTAGGATTAACACAACCTACTTGACACTATGAAGCTGATCTGCCAAGACTCGGAGCCTGTGACTCAGCAGGGATCTAACACTTTTATCGCTTTCCTAGCCTCTCTCCCAGGGACTGCACAGTACTGAGTGAGCTCAGGGGATTTGGAATAAACCAGACACACTGCTCTGGAAAATCCCCTTAGCACCAAGCTCAGCCTTGCACCACACTGTGGGTATGTCTACACTACAGCACTATTTCGAATTAACTTAATTCGAAATAGTTAATTCGTATTAAGCTAATTCGAAATAACACATCTATACACAAAAACTATTTCGAAATAGTGTTTTCCTATTTCAAAATAGCGCATCCACACTGAGTGGACCCTGAACCGAAGTTAAGGCTGGCCGGAGCCAGTGCCGGCAGGGCATCAAGTTAGGACTTAGTGTGTGGGGCTGCTGCCTGAAGCTAACTGAGCTCTGTGCTTAAAGGGACCCTACCCCCACCCCGAACAGACAGTTCTCAGGGTTCCCCGCTTGCTTGTCTACCTCGATGAGGGACAGCAAAGCAGTCCTGTCTTGGAGTGCCCTGAGTGCCTGCACTCGGGACACCACAGCACTCGGCCACATGGAGCCAGAGCTGCCCCTGGGCACGCCGGTGCATCTTGTGGGGTCGTCGCCATCAGACTGGCTGCAGGCTGCCATCCGGGGAACCATCGGGGGGCTGTCAGGATCCAGGAGGCCCTGAGGGAGACCGTCCATCCCGAGGAGCCCTCAGAGCCTCCCCGGTCCTCCCCACTGGGGGCTCATGCCCCATTCCTCCCTCACATCCTTCCACTTACTCTCCCTAGTCCCCCTTCCTGATGTCAAATAAAAGACACATATGTTCAAAAATAGAAACTGGGTTTATTGAACAAAACTGGGGGGGGGGAATGGACCTCTGGGGAGACAGGGAAAAGGAGGGGGGAGAGGGGAAGAGAGAGGGTGGGAGGGGGGAGGGCAACTAAAGTGATCAGGGGTTTGGAACAGGTCCCATATGAAGAGAGGCTAAAGAGACTGGAACTTTTCCGCGTAGGAAAGAGGAGACAGAGGGGTGGCCAGGCTGGCAGCTATCCTACCATAGACGGCCGTGTTCCTCCATCTAGGGCTGAGATCATGGAAGTTGGGGGCATCCCCCCGAAACCTGAATAAGGTCCATGATCTCCACCCTGGACCAGGAAGGTGCCCCCTTCTCCGGGCCCTGGCAGGCTCCGGGGAGCTGGCAGACTGCTCCTGGGGAGCGGTGGAGGGCTGGCTGCCAGTGGCTTGCTGGCTCATGTTTTGGGGCCGCTGGGTCAGAGGCTCCGGTGGCCACTGCTAGTTCTGGGCTGGCAGGCTTGAACTGGCACAGGCACTGTGGCCAGGGTGAACCCCTTTAATGGCTCTGGGGCTAGGGGAGAGGAGAGTAAGCTTTCCTGGTTGTGCCCAGAGTGGCCACCAGGGCTCCCTGGGAAGGGCTGGAGGCCCCCTATTTGAATTAAGTGTCTACACAGCACTTAATTCGAAATAGCTATTTTGAATTTGGCATTACTCCTCGTGGAATTAGGTTAACCAAATTCGAAATAAGGGCTCCACTATTTCAAATTTATTTTGAAATAGCGGTTTGCCTGTGTAGACGCTAATAAAGTTAATTCGAAATAACTGCTGTTATTTCAAATTAATTTTGTAGTGTAGACATACCCTGTGAGTGCTCAGCTGAACATGTTTACTCATACAAAGTGCATATGACTCTCTATGTTTGCTTTTTCAGAGATTGCAGAGGAGGAGAAGGGTGAGTTCCTGTGAATAAATGGCAGTTGTCTACAACCTAAGGAACAGAGGAGACCAGAAGCTGGGGGGATTCTAAACAGGATTTCTGATTTGTAGCCATGAAACTGTTGACATCTCATACCAAGTGGCTGTTCCATAGGAAGTGGCGATCATAAGAAGAGTCCAGTTCATTTACACAAGTATTCACCTCTCACATCAGATCCCAGCCCAGCAGTACAACAGGCCATATTCACAAATGTATCTGTACTAGGAATGGGCAATAATTTTTGTAGGGAGGCCATTCCAAGAATTTTGGTAAGTGGTCAGGGCTGCACTTTCCTCTTATATCAATGGAAGGGCTGTGGAGTCTGAGATGATGTTTGGTTGCAGGGAGGAGTTCCAGGTAGGAATAGGGTGCAGAAGGTGGTTCTGAGCTTGGGCAGGCATGTGGGAAGGGGTGCACGATCTGGGTGGAAGTGATCCAGGAGGAGATACTGATGTGAGCCAGAGAATGAAGTGTGGAAGGGGGTGCCAATTGCAGGCTCTGGCTCTGGCCAGGAAGCACTTAGCATAAACAGCTCCCTCAGACAGGCAGCCTGCCTACAAGCTATGGTGGCTCCATGCCACTCAAAGCCACAGTGAATGTGTTTCTGAACCCAAAAGAAGGTATCTTTGAGGAGTATTTATCCAGCTGCAGGCAGAAGAGTTAGATTCTGTCCCTAGCTCTGCCAGTGACATGCTGCACTCCCCACGTTATTATCATTCTCTGCTAAGAAAAAAACTAAAAAGTGCTTAGCATATACAGTTTTGAGTAATATATACACACATATATATATCATTCTCTCTCTCTCCTTTAGAATCATTGAGGAAAAGATTAGGTAAGTTCCCTGGATATTGAAGCAATTTCAGTAAAATACAGAAGATTTATAGCACATGGATGTATTAAATATATTTTCCAAAAATGCCTATAACTTACTGCCATCCGAAATACTTGGAAGTATCTTGGTTTTGAAATATGCTAGTGACTGACCCTGCAAACCGAGGTGCTGTCATACCCTTTCTACTGACTGGAGGTGCACAGATTCCACATACAAGGAAGGGTGTGTGTTTGGAGCCTCTGGCAGTAAGTGGCCAGTAGACTTCCTGACAGAACTGCCCAACAATGCCGCAAGGAGATGCTGAAGCCTGGCAGCCATTTTATGGTGTGGATGGTCCAAATGCTAATCTGTTTCTCAGGACACGTATAAGTGATAGTGTTAGCAGTTAAATATTGCAGTCCTGCTCCTTTCCTGTGTCCATTTTCTCTAGGAAATACAGTTCTTCCTTAATATACATGACAGGAATCATGCACCAACCACACTATCATATGCAATTCTAACAGGGAACATGGAACCATTTCTCAGTAATGACAAGTAAATGAGTGACAATTCCTGTAAATGAGCCCATCCAAAGCTCTGCGGCTTGTGCAGTATATAGTGAAGTACCCAGCAGGGAAAAACATCAAACATATGAAATCATCTCAACTGCCCTCCCCCCCATGATTCTCCTCCCAGTTCATCCCCCCACCCCATCCTGCCTACTAATTCCACTTCCCCAAATGCCTGGGAGAAAAGGTGAAGTTTCAGTTTGTCTTCAATGTCAACAGTCCTGGACTTTGATGGTGAAAAGGGAAATAACTGCTGAAGCTGCAGGTCCTTTTCTGAAAACTACCAGTCTGTATTTCCTGCCTTGTTGAATCCAGGCAATCGTTCGCTCAGCATTTCAACTGGTTGCAGCAGCTGGGGACATCCCCCTGGGAAAGAGATGTTTTCCAAGGTCACTCAAAATCTAAATGATTTTAAAGTTTTATAGTTCAAACCCACCACATTGATTTACACAGATGCTGTTTCCAAGCTATGGGACTAAACTGAATGGCAGGTCACATTTTCTCTGAGCTGAACTCTGGGGCTTAGGCTTATTCCTACCAACTTCATGTATTTCCAATTCAGTTGCAATAGGAAGTGCAGGAGTTTCCTGTCTGAGTGGTAGCTGGGTAAAGGCCCTCAGGCTCAGGCCACCATCCCTTCCTTGTAGGTGACGATGAAGAGTAGGTTACATGCAGACACCGAGTTTAACTGCTTGCAGGAATCCACAGTAGAAATCACAGATCTGTGTCCAGTCTGAAATCTGTGCACCCAGTGACATAACTGTTTTTGTTTGGCAGAGCAACTAAAGAAGGTGAAGGGTAAGTTTTCTTTTAAATTCCTTAGTTACATTCTGGGGACCAAATGGTGCCCTCATTCTCATCAACACCATCCAGGAGGCTCCAGTGGGACTCACTACTGAGGGCAGGGCTTTGGTGTGGAGCTCACAGCTGAACAGGACTGTGCACTGCACTCCCTGTTGTGCCCTGACCAGCCTCTGTGTGCTGCCCTGCATAGCCAGGGGGAGTTCTGCAGACTCAGTTGCTGCCTCCTGGCAGGAGTGAGGAGAAGGAGGAAATGCTCATCAGCAGAGCTAAGCTCCCTTCTCTTCTCTCCTGCTTGAACCTGAGGGTCAGAGAGAAGCTTGGGTGGGGGAGGAGAGGTGCTTGTGAGGGCCAGTTTGCTTTTCCAAGATAAGAGGACACAAAGAGCTTCTGGGCCAAACCACCATGTTCATGCAGGGGAAGGAGGGGGCAGAAATGTCTTGGGGTGTTTGAACCTTTTTTTCAGTTTCACTGTTACTATTTGTTCCTATTTTCTTTAAAAAATCCTTTTTATTTTTCAGATGACTTGATAGCTGAAATAGGTAAGTCTCCACTGATTTCTCATGCTGAACAACTGTTCTCTTAACTTGAGTTGTTGTCTCAACTTGTACATTAAAGTAAGCTCCTCTATTGAAAAAGGGAAATTCTCACTGTTATTTGTATCTTCCACTCGCACACACAATAACACTCTGGAGGTGACGCCATATTTAAATTTTAGTACTTCCTGTGTACTATGTCAAGTGCACTCTCTGATCTATTTTGTCCATATGACAACAGCAACCTTTGCTAACCCCCTAATTCTGTGCCTTGTTACTGAGAATTCAAGTGAACTTGGTATTTGGGTGCATGTAGAACACCCCCAGCTGTAGGTGGAGCAGAGCTATTGGGAAAAAGAGGAGCTGGAAAAGATGTGATATGATTGGACAGAGTTGATGGGGTGGCACAAAATGTATTGATGTCGGGCTGGGAGGGAACAGAAATGTAATTATTTTGATTTTGGGGAAAAGCTGGACACTCTACACCATAAAGGAATACTTTAGACCAAGGTGTGAAATCTGATTTCAGCAAGGTATTCAACAGACACTCCTACAGAAGACAGAGAAATTGTTTTACTCCCTATGAGAGTTAGTCACACATGGGTGATGGTGGGTGGATTCTGGAAACCAGAAGACAGGCCAAAAATGTTGGATTTTTCCTGCAAGATCCTTATGCACCAAAAAAGGAGGTTTACTGATCTTGCAGAAAAAGGGGTTTTTGCGCAAAAAGAAAATGTCCACAATGCTTGTTTTTGTGCAAAAACCTCTCTGCAAAAACGGATTGGCAGAAAATATGCAAATGAGATTGCGACTCATGCAAATGAGTCCCTCGTTAGCATATATTTTGCCAAGAAAACTCGTAGTGTAGACGTAGCCTTCTTGAGCAAAAAGTCTGCAGTGTAGACGTAGCTGTGCAGTTTTGGTGAATTAAAAGGTAGCAGTGTCATGCAAATAAGTAGACCCCTTTTGTATCTGTTTTCAGATTTTAGTACTGTGCATACACCAAAATTGTTTTGTTTTTTTCCTACTTAGAGTTAG